GTCAAATATTTCTGAGCAGAATTTAAAGAGAAGAGGACATACAAAATTGATATTAGGCAAGTCGAAAATCTAGAGTATCGACCGAGGAAGGAGAGGTGAACCCGACGAAGTGGCAGGTGGAAATCCCTCTTTGGCTCTGACCACCTGAAAACTGCCAAAAGCGTCGAGAGTGTTATGAGATGTCATCGGTATTAAGGAGGGTTTGGGATGTAATTCGGCGGCCTGTGAGTCTGGTACCTTCTTTGACATTCCGGCTCATGTTCTAACATCATCGTGTTATGGTATATGGCGGAAAGACAAGATATGTGGGTCGGGATCTAGAAGGTTATAAGGTTTCCTTTCGAAGCAAACACATAGGAGGCTCAGTTATTACTAGGCAATAAATTTTACGAATATCCAAGCACCTCTGAAGGTGTGGGTTCCTCTTACGCTTTCCTTATAAGAAGCGTCATCTAAAATTAAATGGAAAACAGACCCTAGAAGGACGAAAAGGATGATAGTCTACCGCCCTGCAGAGAGGAAATGGGACTATGTTTCCGGTAAAGCACAACTACCTGGTATGTTTCGTCGCCCCAGCTTCAATAAACATAAACTAATCCTAAATCACTGTAGTTCAATGGAGAATGTGGCTCACTCATACCAGGCACGACCCACCGAGCATTGAAGTGCGTGACGCCATGGGCTTTCCAATATCCTCACGCAGTACAGGGAATCAATTCTTATCGATTACTACTTCTTAGGAACTTCAATTAGATATCACAAGGCAGCGTCGTATCCAGCAATCAGCCTTGCAACTAGAAGCCCAATACGAAGCGGAAAGACAAGCGCATCAACTTTTGCCGGAGCCTCAAAGCAACTCAAGCGTACAGTATCAAGAGGATCTTAGAAAAAGCACCCCTGTAAATAGACCGAAACAGCGTCCAGCCTCTGAAAAAGAACGAATGCTGGTCCCGCCTTCTGCACCCCCAGCTGAGGCACAGCCGTGGTCTCCCAAAACTATTCGAAGAGGATGATTAATATCTTTCTCGTAGATTCTTGTCTTAATTACTAGAGCCTAATAATATAAGGACGTGATCATCCCCTCAAACCTTCAAATCAAGCAAAGACAATTGATTTAATCTAGGACAAATTCTTACCTATATTCACAATTTTTTCCCAGATATATCAATCGGAGTTGAATTTCTGACGATTGTTGAATTGTTTTAGACTCCGCTCAGGTCACGCACCACCGTTTCTCGCTTTACCATCACTTAGACTCGACCACGCTTCCCCCCCCAACCGTCCCGCTCGCCTTTATACACGAAGGAAGACGATTAAAATATCGTTCTAGTGACACGAGGGACCTCTCTTTTACCTTCTCCATGTCCTCACAGATCCCGGTCAGTAAACCCATGTTGTCGCCATCCCAGAGCATCTACACCGCGCGATTTCCCCTCAGAATGCCTGCTAATGCAACTTAAACACCACAGACACGGCGCCCGGTTCGAGCGACGCGCCCAGTGAACGACGAGAACGCCCCGAGCAGAATCAGCGTCTTGGGCAAAGCCAAAACAGTCGTCTCAGAGAACCTCAATGCGAAGAACAATGCCAAAGAAGCCACCACACTGAAAGCCAGCACCAAACCTCGCGTCGTTCTTGGGCAGCAACGAGACACATCCAATCTCGTCGCTGGCAAGCGCAAGAGGGATGCGCTTGGTGACGCCACAAATGAAACAAAATCAAAAGCTACCACTTTGAAGCCATCCATCACCATTAGCTCCACTAACAAAGCTCCGACCCACAGTCGCGCTTCTTCCGTCTCGACCAACGTATCACTTCCCAAAGACAAGGAGAACGCTGCCCGACCTCGCGCGCCTTTGGGAGTCAAATCGAAGAATATCGTGTCAACCGCCTCCGCGGCTTCAGAGAAGGAAAAGCTCTCTGCAAAACCTTCAGAGGCTACCGCTGTCGCGACCAAACGCGTCGTCCGTCGACCCTTGTCCGCCAAGCCTGCTCCTGCTCCCGCAACGACAACCACCACTACCAATGTCACAGTCTCACGGACCAAGGTCACAGAAACCACTGTGCGCGCTGAAGCTACCAGGCGCCAAGTTTTGCAAAAGTCTCAGGTCGAGAAGGTTTCGAAGACCACTAAAGTGGCGAAAATCGACCTCACCGATGTCGATGAAGACGAAGTGAGATCCCACAAACGTCCTCGTTTATCCGATGAGGTCGAAGATGCTGTAGAGCTCAAAAATGTCACCGTCGAGAAGGTTCACGAGGCTTTGACGATCGCTGTGACCAAGCCTGAAGATGAGGAACCAGAAGACCTCGATAAGGACGATCTTGATGATCCGTTGATGGTTGCTGAATATGTTGTCGAAATATTTGATTATCTTCGTGCACTAGAGGTGAGTCCCAAGTTCCCTCGCCCAGTGACTCTTACTCAAACCCTTTTCATTAGAAAACGACCATGCCGAATCCCAAGTACATGCAATATCAAACTGCTCTCAAGCCACATATGCGTGGTATTCTCGGCGAGTGGATCATCGGCATCCATCGAGGACTCCGAATGGTTCCGGAAACCCTCTTCATTGCCATGAACCTTATCGATCGTTTCCTGTCTGTCCGTACGATATCCCTCGAGAAAGTCCAACTGGTTGGAGTTGTCTGCCTTCTCATTGCTTCCAAATATGAGGAGATCTGCGCACCGACCATTTCAATGATGCTAAAATTCTCCGCCAAAAGCTCCACTGTCGACGAAATCAAAGAAGCCGAAAAATACGTTCTCAAGAGCATCAAATACAACCTCAGCTATTCCAGCCCCATTACCTTCCTTCGAAGGTGCAGCAAGGCTGACGGCTTTGATCCTGAATCACGAACCCTCGCGAAATATCTCGTAGAGCTATACTGTGTGGAATATCGCTTAATCCAATACACACCCTCCTGTATTGCGGCCGCTGCGATGTGGCTTGCGAGGCTTGCTCTCGATAGAGGAGAATGGGTATGTAATCTTTCCGTTTCGATTGAGCACCTATACTGAACATTTCCTCTAGACTGCCAATTTAGCTCATTATGCTGGCTACAAAGAGGCAGAATTACTCCCCTGCGCCAACGTCATGCTCAACTACATCCTGAAGTTCCCCAAGCATGCATCTCTCTTTGAGAAGTATGCCTCTCGTAAATTCAACAAGGCCTCTGTCTTCATGAGGTCGTGGGCTTTGGCTCGCTGGGATGAGGGATGGGACGTTGATCTAGGCGAGTGTCTGGAGGCTCTCAAAGAGGACTCGAAAGCTCGTATACTGGCCGGGACGGCTGGTGTTGTGGAGCTCCTGGAATGTCCAGTGTTCCATGCTGATGATAACGAAGGCGCATGATTGCGTAAGTCCCCGAGCTTCCCTATTTCATTATGACTGATCATTACTTTAATCAAACAGCTCTAGTCAGCACCCTCAATATATTTTATACACTACACTCGGCTCTAGGTGCAAAGTTGATGCAGTTCGACATAAATTCTTATTTCTTCGTCTCCTGTTTCCTCGCTTCTTTTATAACCCGTGTATAACATACTTAACCCTCTCCGCCTGCCACTACATCCCTTCCCTCACCATAAACTTCCCCCAATCCCTTTGTGACACGGAGACGGCTTTTCTTATTGCACCGGCTTCTTATCGACTCGGCCCTTTGCCTATTCAACTATTTTTCATTTGCGTGGTCACTGTCGCCGTCACTCTTCGTGCTTGCTGTCCCATGACTGCTATCGGGTACTCCGTCCTCTTTCTATACCTTCTTAATTGTGAGTATCTAGTGAATGCAAATGAAATAGTTCGACCAATCCTGCCTGAGACACGTATAAGCGGAAACCCCATCTTGAGTCCACTGTGAATTAGCCTAAAAGGTGGTTCGGAACGCTTGCTCGCAACAATAATAGTGGAGGAAATACCATTACTAGCGTTGGGGTCACTATATGCTTAACAGTTTTGTGCACTCAACCCAATCGCAGACTTACATATGATCGAATGGCAGCTCAACCAACCTACTCCCGAACTTATCATACAAATACTTAAAAACGAATATTTCTAGTTGGAAGCTACTCCTTCCTTCAAGCGGCTTTGCTGTACTCATTCTCCAGAAAATAGAGATCCTCGTTCCTGATATCATTGACTTTATGCCTATAGTTTAGTCCTATCAGCCATTATAACACCATCACGAATCCTACGAACTTGACTTTCAAATGTTGTCTCAACCCGTGTATATCCATTGCTTTAGGGAGACCGTTTTCGTTTGTCTGTTCAGAGACCCGGGATTTTGCACGGCAGAGAGCTTCGGAGGTAGGCAAGCATTGGGCACAAAGCAATCTCTTCTTGTTCCCTTCCCTCTTGTTCGAAAGTAGTTGGGACACCGTAAACAGCCGTCTACCCTCTCCCCGAGCTTGTTCGCGGTCTATTGCGTCGTCCACGGAAATCTTCTCCAAACGTTGTATCGGATGTCTATTACAATGACGTATCTGGATACATGCGTGAATCAATTGGTACACCGACACAGGTAACGAGCAACAACTCACCAAATCCTCCCACTGCATTGCTTTCATCGTCTCTGGGCAGTTTTGACATATCCATAGTCCTGCAAAGCATTTCGTTTTCGTCTTCGGGTCTTCTTCATTGAGACCTAGAATCTCGAGCATTGCTCTTGTAGTGTCGACGGCATGCAAGGCCAAAGTGAAGTTAGCTTTAGGCAATCAGCGACGGTGGACAATGTTAAAGAGCTATGTGTACTAACTGATTGCCCATGGTATTGGGTTCTTTGTGCTACAATTTGGTCGTTGGCACTGGTGCGCGCACATATCAAGGAAGTCCAGCACTCCTCGTCGCCGTGCGCGAGGTTCCAGGGATCGGCAAACATTGCAGATAAACCAGGCCGTGACACGAATCTCTGGATCAAGTTTACCGAAAGCCTTGCGCCAAACTGTAAGTTGACTAGAAGCTTCGGAATCCAGCCGCTTCTCGGCTCGATTCTGCACTGAATGTTTACTGCCAGAGTCCCTATTTATCCTACTTTTTCCATAAATATGCTTTATTATCCCTTTTTCTCTTCGAGTCTTCTTTGCCGCCTTATTCTTCATGCTTGAATGAGATTCGCTACCTTCGCTGTACCCAAGTAATCTCCGTGCGCCAACGGTGGCCTGCTTTTGCCAGGTAATGATTTCCCCTTCCAGCAGTTCTTTATGGTTTGGGCTACCTAATTCGGTGAAAAATTCGACGAGAGGGATTGTTGAATCTGATTCAGATGATTGAAAGACGTCTTGAGGCTCGCGCCGGATTGAACCCGCAGAGTGCATGTTTCGCAAAGATCTTATAATGGGAAAGGATATAAACGTTTCGAATGTCGGGGCAATCTGGTTAGGAAATAAATAATTAGAAAAATAGTGATGCAATGCGTTGAGCTGATTCCCTTCTGCCCTTTTCAGGTCTCGAGCGACGAGCTTTTGGTGTATATTGCGCGATTCTGTAATAATCTGGTCGAGGTGAGAACCGGCAGCTAAAATTAGATGTCTGAGATCATGGTTCGCTATGACTTAAATGAATGGATACAGACCGACAAAAAGATTGAAGATTGGTCGAGTAAACGACTGTTTCCGAAGGTTCTGAAACTTGGGAACCATCTGTAAAGCTTGAGGCCGGATCTCGTGAAATTGCGCGAACGCTCTGGCACTACACACGATTAAGAAGGGAATAAACAGCAAAGTAAACCGCTGAATCATAGATCAAAGTGGAGGTTCAGACCTTTCAATAAATCCTTGGGTCAGAAATTCTAGATGGGCAGCATAAAAACCAATCCACAGGTGTAACTCTCGTCTCGAGGCCTTTCTCGAGGTAAATACCATGATTTAGAACACGAAATATGGTTGGGTTTGGCCCCCTCTCACCCAAGTCATTTGATTTATTTGCTTCGTATACTCGGCCCTAGCTGAGCACATCTAGATTCACATCAGCAAAATTCCAGATGTGATGACGAAAAAGTAAAACTATCAGGACACGTTCACAACTTTAGGAGCAGATGGTTTCAGCCAACCTTCAGAAATGAGTCGAGGTCGGAAAGCGATTCGCTATGGCTGTTTTCCATATACTGGTCCATGACAGTTTGCCATGCTTTCCGATTAAGATAAACTTGAGTTATGGGGGGATTTTTCAGCCATACGATTGGAGTCGACGTTCAGATCATTATGGCAGTTACTAGTGGACAACTCCAACGTACCACAATTGGTGCGTAAGCGGACCCTCCGCAAAGAATCCACTAAAACGTCAGAGTTTTCGAGCGAGAACGGAATTTCAGAGCGTTTAACCATATATTTTGCTTCTTGTGTTGAGATCAGAACTGTTTCTCTTTTAGAGTGTTGATGAGCAAATTACAAAGAACGGAGAAAGCAACTGTGAACAACGTACAGGGCCTCATTATTTCCCCAACAATCCTATGTTGTGGAAGGTTTGGAAGTTTCATCAAAGGTAGGGAAGGCAGTGGATGGAGACTCACTTCACAGAGGGTGACCCCTAGGACGGGATGTCGCGGAATATCGTTGTGCTCCTTCTTACAATAGGGACATGATTTCTGACCAAAAAGAAGCTGTGCCAGACACATCTCTGTTTGTCCAGGAAAAGGAGGAGGGATAGGTCGATTTATCCACCGAGCACAGACATCGTTGGCCAAGTGACTATTCTTTGGGTTACTCGTCCTATCTATGATATCGAGTCTTCGAATGAGCATTATATGATCCCTCGCATGCTTCCATATGGATCTGGACTCTTCATGAGCGAATAGCTTGTGTAAATGTTGGCAAGTGTAGGTCAAAGAGAGAATATCTCCAGGATGCGCTGTACATTTCGCTATATATATCAAGATTTCTGCGGGTAAAAAGAGAAAGTAGCAAGGAGAGGGTGATTCTTGCGGCCCTAAACGGGGCACGCGGTGTCGTTTGGGTCCATTTCGAGGCATATATTCGTCCTTGCACTATTCGTAAAGGGGGCAGTGATTATCAGAAATGCTCGCGTCGCGGGAGGATGTATTTCGTGTAGAGAGTTTAAAAGAACTAATATTCGGTGTTGAATTTGGGGTCAGGTTGACTGCAAGCTGAGTTGCCTGTAGACCGCCAGGCATAGAGCACCAGAGTAGACCATATCACCACCTGATGACCTCAATGGGTACACCTTGCTCAGCGATTTTGGCCATCAGTAGTATCTTTGCGATCTATTATCACCACTTCGTTTACAGTACTAGTTTAGGGTGAATTGCCATCCGACTGTTTTGCCATCATACACACCACCATATCGTACAGGCACTACAAACCATCCTGCTCGTGCTTGATCGTGGCAATAATGGTTTGTAGCATATTAACTCTCGAGGCGCTATTCACAATATGCTCTTGTACTACATGCCCAATACCAAGATTTTCTAGTTCCCCGAAGTCTGGGTTCCAGTTGCCATACGGGCTTCCTGCCTCCTAAACTCACGGTGTTTGAAGCTGAATGGTATTCCATTATGTCTATGGAATGGCACTCAGAAACCAAGAATGACGAAATAACGCCAGTACTTACCTTGTGCGAAAGTGAGAAGCCAGTCCCATCGCATCGTAATGATAATAAGAATCAAGACACTCCCAGCAGAGATACTTTTATCTATTTGCCTCATTTCTTGATACCTGAGTTGAGTCCACCGTCTTGTCTGGGGGATCGCTAGTAGATAAGTTAAACTCCACTCCAACGCACATATTCAAGACTATACCTTGTCTCTTGGCTAATTTTAGTCTCTGAGGTCATTATATCAGTTGGGTCATGACGAGTTTCATCGATGAAGTAGATGTCTTCGTTCCTCATGTCATCGATTTTATGCCTACGATGTGGTTTAATTGATTATTGACGATAGCAGCAAGAGCAGCAGTACGAACTTGACCTTTAGATGTTGTCTAATCCCATGAATATCCATCGCTTTAGGAGCGCCTTTTTGGCTCATTTGTCCAGGACCCTGAAACTTTGCACGCAAAAGAGCTTCTGAACTGGGCATGCAATGGACGCAGAATAGCTTCTTCTTTCCGGCCTCTTTCTTGTTTAACAGTAGCTTGGACACCGTAAACGGTCGTTTATCTTCTGCCCGAAGTTGTTCACGGTCCATTGCCTTGCCCATAGAAATCTTCTCCAAGCGCTGTATAGAATGCCTACTACAGTGGCGTATCTGAATCTATGCATCAATTTCTAGACAAATTGGTTCAGAGATGAGTGAAAACTAACCAGATCCTCCCATTGCATCGCCTTCATCGTCTCTGGACAGTTTCGACACAGCCATAGTCCATCAAAGCATGCAGTCTTCGTTTCTGGATCTTCTTCATCAAGACATAGAATGTCCAGCATTGCTTTTGTGGTCTCAATCGCATGCAAGGCGCGAGAGAAGTTGGCTTCATAGAATTAGCTACGGTCAGCAACTCTAGTAGGTATTTGATACTCACTTATTGACCACAATAGCGGATCCTTTTTTTTAAGATCTGGTCTTTGGCACTGGTGATTGCACATGCCAAAGAAATCGAATACTCCCCGTCGCCGATAGCGAGGTTCCAGGAATTGACAAGCATTACAGGCAAACCAGGCCGTGACACGAAGCTCTGGATCAAGTTTACCCAGAGTTTTGTGCCAAACTTTGGTTTGACCTAAGCCCTTGGACTCTGGTTGAGACGTAGCTGGGTTCTCGGCAGGTTGTTCGCTGTCTACATCCATATCAATGCTCCCTTCTGCGCCAACTCTCCTTCCTTTTCTCTTTTCTTGCTGTATGTCTTTTATTCCTTTAGTTTTCTCCTTCCTGTGGGACTTGTCACTTGCACCGTATCCAAGTAGCTCCCGTACTCCCATGGTGATATGCTCTCGCCAGGTGTTTATTTCCTGTTTCAGCAATCTCTTGTAGTGTTCGTTATTTATTAGAGTGTTGAAGTAGATAAGGGAATTTGGGCTGCTTGTTTGAGTAACCTCCCGAGGATTGTACGTGACTACTTCAGCATAGTGCAAGTCTCTTAAAAGTTT